ACTCAAGCCATAAAAAAAAATTGTTTGTCCAAACCTGAAAAATACTCATTCACAGCGTGTTCCACGGCAGCATTTGATCTAAATTTTTTCCACCGAGCCATTTTTTCAAATTTGGAAAGAGGAAGAAGTCACTGGGAGCCAGATCTGGTGAGTAGGGGGAATGCAGGAGCGGATTCGAATCTCAATTCATGCTCCAGCCGCACGCGCTTTTGATCAATTGTCAGCAAACGCGGCAACCAGCGCGCGGGTTTGGATAAACAATTTTTTTTTATGGCTTGAGTGGTTGGGATAAAAGGTGGACCTATGTAGAAAATATCAAGTATATTTTTTATTCCTAGTTTTCCCAATAATATTTTGTATTTTTATATATATTCTGATAATCGCTACTGAAACAAATTCCAAGATGTATATGACAAACGGTTATTAAAAACCATTTTAGTTAAGAAAAGAGCAAAAATATATTATTTAAAAAATTTTCAAAATCGATTTTCTCAAAAATAAAACCTCGTATAAAAAACTTTATCCTACATTTTTAACCTATTTTTTGTTTGAGTAATTATCCTATTATGCATGTAGCATGATTTTTGCCACACTATGCGTGTGCGTGCGTGTGTGTGCGTGTGTATTTTTTTACCATATACAGGGTGTTCTTGTATATGCATTTTAAATGCCGCAGGCGAATATCTAAAAAATTAAAGAAAATACGAAAAAGTATTTCAGACAGAAGTTGTAACAAGTATTTTGAAAACGTCTCAATATCAACTACAAGAATATGCAACAAAAAATGGGGATTCTTATTTAAGATTTTTATGTTAACCTTGACGGATGTTTACAAGATCATTCCAAAGTAAAATAAATATTACCATCTTTTTCCCTCCTCGAAATCCTACAACTTTTATTCATCAAAACACTTTTTCGTATCTTCTTTAATTTTCGAAAAATGTCATATTTACAAATGTCATAGTAAATAACTCACCCTAACAATAAGTACAAAGTGATCCACATAACTAGGCCAGGTTCTAGCACTTGTTCTGTTGAAGATAGAAGATAGAAAAATAAAAGATAAAGATAAAAAAATATGATAGAGGTGAAAGTTGAATAACATAACAAGGTAAATTTTTCTATCGATTTATTTTCTTCATAAGTACATCAAAAATATGAAATACACATTTCATGTTTTACACATTTCATGTTTTACACATTTCATGTTTTACACATTTCATGTAATACATTTTTTTGCATAAACAAATATTTCTTCTGAATATTCTATGTATAAAAGTATTAGGATAAAGTCCTTCGAAAAGTAAATATTTCACGAGATATTTGAAATTTTTGAGTGAAATATATGCTTTATTCAAGGTGATGTTTAAATGTTCCACCGTAACATAACATTTTGTGATTTATTTCTTTATGTACTGCAGCACAGCATCAAGATGATCACTATTTACGTTTAAACAATTTATTTTAATCCGTCCTTTTAAGTCATCAATAAAAACAAATAAACGCGAATATACTTTATATTTATAATTACTATGAATAATTACTATATGATCAATTGATACTGCTTTACGCGTCCTCAAGTGTTTATACTCAAAATCCGTAATAATAAGTACGGTAGAACGTTTAAACATCATCTTGAATAAAGTCTTACTCAAAAATTTTAAGTACCTCATGAAATATTTACTTTTCAAGCATCTTACCCTAATATTTTTATACACAAAATATTCAGAAGAACTCATTTATACAAATAAAAATTACATAATTCCATTTTTTTTAAAAGTGCAATTGTACTTTTCTGATGCACCGTTGAATTTACGAAGAAAAATGAATCAATAGAAAAATTTTTCTTGTTATGCTATTCAACTTTTGTCTCTACCGTTTTTTTTCTATCTTTAACAGAATAAATACTAGAACTTGGCTCAGTTGTGTAGACTACCCTATATATCTTCCCAAATTTTTAAAGATTTTAAAATTACCTTAAAGTTTTATCCTTACGAGAGGTAAATGTATGCATGATCAATATTCCAAATAATACCCAGAACATAATGATCATAAAAATCCTGTGGTCATAGCCAGTAATTAAAGGTACACAACCCATTGACCAATCAAAACAGAGCCATATAGGACATATTAATAACCATGTATTTAGGCAATAGATATAGTTATAATTAAGTATACGATAAAATATATTATCCATAAAAGATGCTGGATTATCTACTGGTTGAAATTTAGGAACAGAAAATCCCATAATACTAAATCTTAAAGATAAAAGTATTACTGTAATAAAAGAGAGTACAAAAAGTCTCAATATTGTATTTTTGTATTTAAAAAAATTATTTACATTTTTATTAGAATATTTAAATAAAAGAAAATTAATCACATCAATTGGATATATTTTGTTTACTATAACTATATCGTATATTGCGCAAATACCCTGAAAAATAAAAATAATAAACTTTATATTATAAAAATAAAAATTACAATACAATATATAATAAATATTAAATCACACAAATAAATATTTTTGTAATTACATGAAAAATTTCAGTATAAAGATGCAAATTTAATACTCACGATTGCAGTTATTCCAGTTTCTTTACACAACATTGCTATGGTTATACAAATAGCAAACGCAGACATAGCAATCCATGCATGTAACAATGTTTTTGTGTATATCACATGGTTATATAATAAAATTGATAGCCATGTAAATAAAGTACATAATAATTCAGCACGCCCTACGATTCCAGATACCTGAAAACATGAAAATAAAGTTAATATATTATAATATATTATATGTGAGCGGTTCAGAGGACCAAATTATTTTTTAAATCCATATATAAATTAGAAAAAATTGAACAGTTTTCACTGAATAAATTTAAAAATGAGTGCAAATACTTAAGTTAAAATTAAAAGAAACTATAGTACTTATGAAAAACAGTACACATATTGCATACAAGTAGAATAACTTAAACTTTAGAACTAATTTTCTACAATTAACAAAAATGGACTTCATTTACTTTTCCTCTGAATCCCTCATATTTGTACATACAAATAAACATAGATTATAACATATTTAAATTACAGCTTCTGTATGAATTGGATGAACTGCAAATAAGGCTGCAGCATAAAATGATGTATTCCGTTCGTCTGGTCCCAAAAGCATATTATACACAAATAAAGTTAATAGGCAAACCATACTGTGCAATGCTATGTTCATTATGTGGAAGTCTTGAGAAATTAAATCTTGTCTTAACCAAAAATGTAATCTGTAAGAATAAAAAAATTAATTTTTATATAATTATAAATGATTTTGAGAATATATTAGTTATACAATTAGCTATATATTAGCTAGAAATTGTTGAAATTCAAAAATGTTTTATTTTATACTAAGCATCAATAGATTTAGACTATATGAGCACTTCAGAAGTATACTATGTCAAGTCACATAAATATAATTTTTCAGAAGGATTTAAAAAGATTTTTCGTTTTTGATATGCTCTCAATAAAATACTTATAATGTTTTGCAGATTTTTTTGTATTCGCAGATATAATATCAAACCTTGATATGTTTCATAAAATGAAGTTTAGTGATTACAGAATGATCTTAATGTGACTTAACTATTGTTTACCTGGTGAATGTGACATTACATTATGACTTAACTTTACACAACATCTCTATTTTCATTGAAAACATTTGCCATTGGATAAAAGTTGGAGTATATATAGTCTTTTGATAATAACTTAATTTTTGAAAAATGTGATTTAACAAAGTATACCTCTGAGGTAATCATATAGAGTTATATTACAAACATAAATTTTAACACTTGGAAAACATATATTTAATATCTCTTTTACATAATTGATATAAGAAAAAACTTTTGGATATAAATGTTCTCTAAAATTAACCACAAGAGAGAAAATAAAATAGTAAACAATTACTAAATGCCAGAATATGTTGTAGAGTGAAGTAATTATGTCTCTTAGCAGTTTTAAATGAATAACCAACTAGTGAATTTAAATTAAATTTTATACAAATATTTGTTAGTTTTGTTAAAGCATATAAAAAATTTAATATGTGACATTTGTTCTTTGTCAAATTTGTCAATAAATGTATACATTTTCTATCAAAACATAAGCATTAAATAATTTTCAACTAATCATAAATTTATGATCAAGTTTTACATAGATATCAAGAATAAATAATAAAACAATTTATGAAATTTTTATAGTTTTGTCAATATTTTAATATACAACCTACATATCCTTAATAATTTTCTCTTGTCATTTTTTACCTAAAACTTAAAATAGTAAGAGGCCTATATGATTTATGACTTTGTTTATGGGATAACTTAGTACCCCAGAAGTCATTTTTGAATATTTGCCATATTGGTGTGTCACGTACATCATCATTATTAACAATAGCCTCAGTATCATCAAAAACAAAGTTTCCGTCATAACTGTTAATAACACAAAGTGACAAGATCACAATTATCCAATGAGAAAGCGATGGCGATATAGCTGAAAATTTATAATACTCCATCACACACACACACACACACAAAAATGTTCAATCTTATAAAGTATTTTATCTATATAACTGTAAAAGTAATTCACCTGACAAATTTGTTATTTTATTTTTCATCTTATTCTTCGTATACATAAAAATGATTACATTGTTTTTGTTGATATTTAAATTTTCAACGTGTATAAATAAACTTTATCAATAGTACATTACACTGATGGAGTCTGAAAGTATACTGTCACAGTCAGTGATGCGCTGTCGTGGGAATAAAGTTGCGTCTGCGCACTAAGCAAACGCTTTGAACCCTCAGTAATTTACCCTCTTCTTTCACAATATCAGCTGATTTCAATTGTAATTGATTATAATGCACTATAATATGTCGTGTGTCATTAAAAACGCGGGAAAACTATCATATCCCCTATAGTACACCTAGATACATCTGTGGTAGCAGCCGACGTCTAGCTGTGACGTCAGCTTACGCATGCGCACGGAGGTTCCGTACGGGAAAAAAATCCCACGACAGCGCATCACTGGTCACAGTATAAGAGAGCCAGTGTCGCTAACCCATGCTAGATCTTTACTCTAGATTAAATTTGAAATTCCCCCAGATTTCTCCTAAATCTTATAGCGTTTTCGATTATACAGGATTTGAACGACCCAGGGTTGATCAATCACTATTTTACTATAAATGCAAGTCTTTCATTGGTGGAGAGGTTGCAATGACGTCATTAACCAACCCTGGGTCGTTCAAATCCTGTATAATCGAAAACGCTATTAACTTTCATCAGTGATTACGTTTACACGGCCCGATTTACGCCGCAGTTATAACATCAGGTTTGTTCTTTATAGCTGAACTGGCTGTACTAGTTCAGAGTTTATCTTTTTCCCTCCACATTGGAAGGAGAAAGATAAACTCTGAACTAGTGCAGCCAGTTCAGCTATAAAAAACAGACCTATCAATGGGAGCTTTTTCATTTAGGAGACACCTCGGACTAAGGAATAGAGGGACGGTGCACAAGCTGTACCGGGGGAGCACGTTTGCGGCGGGGGGGCCGCCATATTCGTTTAGTAATCACCACACATAGAACTCACTATTTGCGTATATGTGAGAAATGAAAGTCAGATCCTGCGCACAATAAACAAATAGGAAATAGAAATAG